TTTGTTCGTTGGAGCTCAGCCTCCTAGTGGATTCGAAGATGGAGAGAAGGCAGAGTGTGTTAGCTGGGGATGCCATTGGGAATTCTCAAAAAAAGAAAAAACTGGGGATGCTATTGGTGCACTGTATTCTTTTTTTTTTGAGGGAAATGGTGCACTGTATCCAAATTAAGGGTTTCGGGTAGTGCTATAGGGGGGTTTGAGTTGACACAGACATCAAGAAATTCTCTTGGGGTTTCTGGGCTCTTTCCCTATGATTTTGTTGCAACAGCAGTGCTATGCGGACGACAAAATTCAGATGATTCACAGATGACACATACATCCAGCCGGACATGCGCATGAATGAGCATTTTCAGGTCGTGCATAGATCGGGCAAAAGCATCGTGTGTGGAGCGATTTCGTTGTTGCAATGTTGGTCATGTATCTTGGAGATGTTGGTTCGATTTGGACTGGTTCAACCATCCATAATCTCAGGCATCAAAATTGTTCATGGTTTGATTTGATTGGTCCAACCACAGGTATCTCAGGTATGTAATTTGTTCAATTCTATTCTTGTGTGCGGACTAGTTCACCCTGGTTGCTGGTTTGAACCATGAGTCCGCCATTGGGAGATGAGGAAGGCCATTGGGAGATGAGGAAGGCAACGACAGAAGTATGTTTTAAAAATCGGATGATTATTTAATAAAGTAGTAACAAGCTTTCCACTCATCAAATATGGGCTTTCAGTTTAGATGAATTACAACTTCCAATTGTTGGATCACAATGTGCATATCCTGAAACACTGACTCCACGCCACTTTTTTTATATAGAAAAACACTGATTTCAAAACAAAAAAAAATCGATCTCTATGGCATGCCTCTTGCCTCATGTGGCAGCAATGGTGACAGGACAATGCCACACCAATGGTCAGCTTACCGAGGGAGCAGCATAGGTGAAGCTGCTGCGGAAGGGTGGCACCAGGATATATGATTGTGGGGCCTCAATACGATTTGAGCCTCACCAACAGTTTAGTTAAGCAAAGTAAGGGCCAGTTCTTTTGGGGCTTATGGATGACTGCCAAAATTTTATTCCAGAAGCCACCCATAAGAGTAACATCATCATTTATGAGCATATCAGGTAGGACTATATTAGAACTACACAAACAACAAACAATAGACATGCTCGATCATGAGGCATGGAGAATCATGTAAACAGTTAGCAAAATTTAGCACATGTGGAAGGGTGCTCAAATACAGAGTTTGCATGTGTTGTGCAAGAAAAGGATTTGGATGAGTTGTGCAAGGGTATCAAGACCTACACATTTCATTTTTGGAAAATATCCACCCTGCAATTATACCAAGTCATGTTCAGGAAATGGTACTATGCTTTGGGTAATTTTCAATCTGCTATCACACCACTTCTTTGATTTTCCACTGTGTACTGAATGGGGATAAAGATTACGACCAGTTGGTGCATTTACACAATATTATTGCAGAGGAACTTGCACATTCAACAAGATTATGCCAAATGACAAAAAAGAAAGAACTGTGTAGTATATGGAATAATAAAGTTTCGACTCGCTTAGGTTTCCTCGGTCTACAAGTCTGAAGACTGATTGCGATAAATTATCATCCAATAGAGTAAAATAACGAAAGGACACGAAGGTGAAGCAGCTACATAAATAAGAGGATCATCTAACATGACAGGACTAGAATTTACGGTGAGGAGGTTCCGGGGTAGGGATTCATTAAATTCAAGCAAAGCCTCCTTGTCGGTTCACTTAGCAACAACAAACAAATGGAGGCAGATCAAACAGATGGGCGATTGTGGTACCCCAACGTTATGATTGCAAGGTCCCAAACAACCCCTTCACATCTTCATCTGCTACTGTGTCCGTTGAACCTGCAAGAATGATTACAGATTATTGAACAGAACAATTGGCTGCCCATTTGAAGTATTCCAGTAGTTATTCACCTTGCTCCTCCTGTTTCATCGGCTTCTTGTCCTCCTTGGGTGGTGGGGTTGACAATGGTGGCATTGAGCTGCCGCATGAGCTGGCTGCGGCGGCGGCTGCCGCAGCAAATGCCAGCGCCGGCTGCTGCATGGCATTGAACTTGAGCATCTTATCCCTGTCCCTGCTCGACTCGCTGCTCTTAGGGGTCTTCTTCTTGGGCGGCTGGGCCGCGGCGGGCTTCTCCTTCTTGTTCTTGGCCTCCCTGGCCGCCTCCTCCTCCTCCTTGATCTTGGCGGCCCTGGCCTCCTCCTCGAGCGCCCGGAAGGCAGCGTCCAGCATTTCCCGCGAGCGCTTCCGCGCGACGGCCGCCTCCTGGACGCGGCGCTCCGCCTCCTCGCGGGCGGCAGCGGCAGCGCGGCCGATGGACTCGTGCGCGAGGCGCGCCGCGATGAGGAGGATCCGCGCGGCGCGCTCGTCCATCACGCGGCGGGCGGCGGGCGCGTAGGTGAAGGGCCGGCCCTCGGCCTCGGCGGCGCACGGCGGGCAGACGAAGGAGACGGGGTCGGGGATGCAGGTGACATGGGCGACGAAGAGGCCGCAATTGGAGCACTCGGCGGTGGGGCCCGGCGGGGCGACGGCGGGGTCGAAGTGGGGGTCCTG